CAGTGGTGCATGTGCCATCTACGTAGGCGATGGCATAACAGCAATCACAGCTGACCGGTTAACGTTCAAATATATGAATGATTCATTATGGTTCACTATTCCGGTCTATGATCTGCTACTTTGTTGTATTTATATCTCTCCTGATGCCACCGTCCATGAATCTCAGTAGTTAATATCTGCCATTAAGATTGCCTCCAGTGCTCCACACAACTACAAATTCCTATGTGTAAATTTCTGTCTGCCATATATAAATTGGAGGTCGCACAGGCATCCAACAACTGTGGAACTTGCAATAATGATACAATGTGTCTATCAATGCTTGGAGCCAACACATTAAACAACCCGCTAGGTCAGATAACATGTTAGACCTTGTTTTCACTCTGGGTATTTCATCTGTCTGTGTATTAATTGAAGGCCCATTAATAGGAAGTGACAACGGTACAGTTCTCTGCAACGTGAATATCAGGCCATCTGTAAGGACCGGGGCAAGAAGTAAGCGAATACCCCAATACGCTTTACTGCTTGGAACATAATTGACAAATTGATAGGGAATAGGTATTAAGACCGATTTTTCTCCGCTTCAGATTTGGCCATAGACGCTGGCGAATCCGCGAAAAATATCAGCACATTCTTGCACCTACGACGATGATAAACACAGACTCCTTTGGTGGACCATGCCAAAGTACATGCTAGGTCGCTCAATAGCTTAAAAGTTTGAGTGCACTGCACTGCAATACAAGGACAACATCACCTTAATCCAAACACATGAATCTTTACTGAAAATTGAAGACTAAACTCAACTGTCCGGGATGGCCGAGAAAACCCGAGCCATTACTAATACAGAGAAAGCTCGTACTCTGATGCAATGACTCAGTAGAAGAAATCCCAAGAGGCACCAAGAAATTTTAGGCCTACTTTCAACCGACGGTACGGCAACAGATGATATAATTCAGATATGAGAATCAATGATTTCCTACTTCGTCGCCTCGTTCACAACTGCACTATCTGTATACTCTCCTCACATACCATGAACAACCGAATTGGTCTTATATACCATTCCTCTGAATCTGAAGGACGTACAGATGTTTATTACATCTATAAAACCGACTTTACAAGCAGGACCTGCTGGTTTGCCCCCAGCAGCTACATGGCTAATTGGTAAAATCATATCTCTCCTTACGTGGAATATATTTTCACAGTCACTATACACTAGTTGCTTCCCGCCCCAGTGAAAAAATACCATGATGTGACCGAAACACAAAGGTTGAGATGGAATATCAGATCATCCACCGATAAATCATACGACGTTTCTAAACCTTTAGAGAGAAGCGTCGAGGAAGTTGCAATCGCTGCGCTCCCATAGTTTCCACGGTGTTGATAACATGTACCCTATGCACTGCACGCAGCGCCTGTTAAGTCAACTGAGATATTACTGCGACGAAACTGAAACACAACTGTGACATTAACCAAAATTTGCAAAGATGACTGGATGTACACCGAGTCTAGTAAAATTTTACATAGCTTAGGACGTAGCATTCTTCTCTCAGAGCTGCACACGATCAGAATTGGGATCTCTGTCCTTAGCTACATTGGAAAGTTCCTTCTTCAGCCACGTCATCGGGTTCAGCTTTAGGACTGACACTTTAACACTGTTCAGGTAGACTGCGCTGTTCCACATGGGTCAGTGTTTGGGCTGCGCGTCTTCATGGCCCTTAGTAACGACCTCGCACATGTCTTAGAGACACATTTCCTTCTTTTTGCTAATGACATCAAGTTACGGCTGGCGCTCGGTATTAAGGAAGATTACGAGCTGCCAGAATTGAAGTTAGCCCGTGCTTTTGTATAGCCGAAGGCAATTCAAATTCCGTTCAAAGTGGAGATGTGCAAACCTGTTCAGGTAAACGACTAGAACAATAACGCAAACAAGGTTGGAGACCACATGTTGGAAACCGCTTCACAGGCCTCCTACCTTGGGGTGATGTTGCAGGACGACCTCAGCTGTTCGACACAGTCATTGCAAACCTCCAAAGTCGTGAATCAAATGTTGATCTCTTACCGAGGGTGTTCCGGCTGTTCCAGCACTCTATCTTCCCCACAACGCTCAATGCGTATGAGAGGCTTTATGTTGAGCAAGCGATTCAGACCAGGCAACCATTGTTAAAACGCTACCTGGAGACACTGAAGGCCCCACAGCGAAGGGCAAGCAAAAGCGTTAAGAAATTGTTCCACCTGTCATACTATATGCGACTGTAAGCTCGGGGCACTTACAACGAACTCATCAAAGTCTGCGGGGCGAATCCATTCTGGCGAACCAGATCTTGGAAAACCCAAATCACGCTTGCGCTCGCCTCCTCAAACTCAGCGCAACACAAAATGGCGTGGTCAACAGTTAAAACTGGCTACGAATGCAGTCGGTTAGGAATGTCGCCGAATTATTAACTTCTTCGAATTTGTCAGCCGCGAATCGACCTTTCGATCTTCCTCAATTTTGCGGCCACAGCAACCATTTTAATAGAAACGACGTTCACGCAGTACACCAACTGCACCACTTGATTTGATTTTCGCCTAGCGAAATTGCCGATCATTTAACCAGCTGAGTGAAACTGTACGTTATCGCACCTCAATATATGAAGATGGAAGGGAGTTTGGGGTCAATAATAACCACTCGAACTACTCGCAAACATTACAAACGCTTTTGCTACCTACCTTTGTGAACCCGGGATGACAACCTCTCAATTAGAATAACGCAGTAACTCAGCGCAGAACTGCAGGCACTCATACCTCCACTAAGTCTCAATGGCAGCGTCAGGTTATAGCCTGCCAACCAAGGCATACAACGCATTCTTACCACTTGATATGTGACCCATTTTTGGTCGACATCTGCTCCTACAAATAGGGCCTCCACATACCACTATACAAAACCCAACGATGAACCTATTGTTTCCGCATTTACTTCGCTAGAGATAGGACATCGTAACGCACGGCAGAGCCCAGTCGTTTCACTACGGCGCACAACTCACGGCCATGAAGACAGCAGGTGTGACATGACCAATTTTGTGTATTCTATCACATTCATTTACCTAAAGCCGTTATTATAAATATCCCTTCGTTATTACCAAAACACGATATCCTTACGACATTTATGTTCCTTAAAACTCCTCACATTATTTGTATCATTGGAACATGGTGAAGGCCAGTTGTAGGTGACTTGCAACTGAATACTTTGGGACATCAATTGTTTCGGTAGCATTGTCTGCACAAACGCGGTGGTGCACGTGCCATCTACCTACGCAATGGCATAACAGCAATCACAGCTGACCCGTTTACGTTCAACGATTTGAATGATTCATTTTGGTTCACTATTCCGGCCTACGATCTGATACTAAGTTGTTTTTGTATCTCTCTTGATTCCATCGTCCATGGATCTCAACAGTTATATCTGCCATTAAGATTGCCTCCAGTGCTCCACACAACTACAAAATCCTACTTAAAAATTTCTGTCTGCCATATATAAATTGGAGGTCGCACAGGCATCCAACAACTGTGGAACTTGCAATAATGATACAATGTGTCTATCAATGCTTGGAGCCAACACATTAAACAACCCGCTAGGTCAGATAACATGTTAGACCTTGTTTTCATTCTGGGTATTTCATCTGTCTGTGTATTAATTGAAGGCCCATTAATAGGAAGTGACAACGGTACAGTTCTCTGCAACGTGAATATCAGGCCATCTGAAAGGACAAGGGCAAGAAGTAAGCGAATACCCCAATACGCTTTACTGCTTGAAACATAATTGACACGTTGATAGGGAATAGGTATTAAGACCGATTTTTCTCCGCTTCAGATTTGGCCATAGACGCTGGCGAATCCGCGAAAAATATCAGCACATTCTTGCACCTATGACGATGATAAACGCAGACTCCTTTGGTGGAGGTTACCAAAGCGCATGCAATATCGATTAACACCTAAGGAAGTTGACATCACCACATTGCAAATACAAGAACCACCGGCCCGCTTGAAATAAGAAAAGACTGATCCACTTGATTGTTAACTTGGATAACATGGTGCGTCCACAGATGCGGTTTCACTTCAGTGTATATGTGGGCTGAACTCAAGTTATTTCCACATACACTCTCAATGGTCCTGTCAATAAGTGGCCTTTATTCCGTAGCATCAGATTGTTCCATTTCTTCGCGTTTTCTTGAATCTTGAATGCGACAGATGTAGATACAATTAAACCCGCTACAGATAGACAGAACGAGCAATGTACTTAAGAATTTCACGTCACGCTACCATGTTAAATGGTGCACCAATCAAAGCTGTCCGAAATTTAGTTGATCAAACCTAGCTTAATTGGGCCATCAGAACGCATACGTATGAGATGCTCTATCAACATTTGCGAGTATGCCACATTTCCACAATCCGAATGGCTTAACTTAAGCACAGCAACTTTATCAGTCGCCAGTGGGTCAAATCAAGTCCGTGAGTAGATACACCATAGCCACAAATGCAATTGATGCGTGAGCATGTTTAAAGTGAGCAGTCCGTAACTAATTTCTGTTAGAAGCGGTTCTTGGACCGAACTTTATTTAATGACCACCATAGTGATTTTAATTTCTTGACGCTCTAAGCTGCAATTTCACATGCAACTCCATCTGTATGCACCAAATTCTCACAGACTATGTTGATGATATTGTGGACGGTCTCCATCAAACTTCGCAATTCTCACACGCATCTTTTAAATCGCTGCCTTCATAGAGCTGATTGAAAGTCTGGATTGTAACTCTCAAGCTCTCACATGGTATGTGACGTTTAAGTCTACTAAACTCCTCAGACAAGATTTCAGAGATACACACGCTTTCGAGTTGGAGGCTTTGTCCATGAACCATGGATGCACGATTGATTGACAGACACGGCCAACTGAATGTGATTCTACTCGAACAATTTGAATATATAAACGAGAGCTGGAAGCGTTAACCGGTTGGTTAGACTCTAGAATGCTCATTGCTTCGCTTCGGTTCTACCTGCTGATTGTACTGCTTGGTCACAGTCTGGTGAATCTTTGTAAGTTTCCCTAAACTCCTGCAATTCTCATACTCCACTTCATCGCACCTGGTGACCGTGATTGTGATTGGTGCATTTCAGGTGCGGCCAGTGGCAGTGCAGCCCCTGGGAACCTATCAGAGGGACACCGGCGTATTCGACTCGGTCGACCGTTGGTGAGGCAGGAACCGCAGCTGACAGGTAGAAAGGTAAGTGAGCAGTAATGATCACTAAGTAACGAATGCCAAATGTAAGTTTTGCGCCTAAGGCTTCTTGTTAACGGAAAGTTTCTACTGACGTGTCATGTTGCAGCGTATGAGCTGTTCTGCTCCAGTTCAAACTAGTTTCTTTTGTACATCATTAACAATAGGTGGTGCAAAGAAGATTCATTCCTTGTGAACCATGTTTTCAATGCGACAGCAAACGCCAGTTTCACACTTATATCGAAATCTGCTCTTCTGGATTTTGTTCTGTTCAACAGCAAACTGGAATCCGAATGCTTTAGTCTCTTTTTACCGTCTCGCACTGGTTTGTGTATTTGTACACTGCTGTCGTGTCAAAGGTGGACGCATGCTATCCCGTGCTTATCCGGAGGTTGTCAACAACCCGACGGATTCTGGTTTTCATGTTTCCTAATTGTACTAGTTAATATGTCGACCAAGCAAAATGTATGCGCAATATTCTGAAGCTCTGAACTCACCCGCATAAACATGTGCGGTGTTGTTAGTCGGTTAGCCGAACAATCTCCTCGTCGTGCCAGGTAGTTCACAAGTTTACTCCCCTCTAGCAAATAGTTCGGCGTCAGTGCTCCAGGACATGGTTCCTGTTTGCCTGAAAAGAGAGCACCCTCCATAAATCCAATCCAGTTATCCGTTTGTGCGTCGCTCCATCACTCTTTGTGTGTACCATTACCATGACCATTGCTGTGCTGGCCTGCCTCGAGTTGTCGAGAATAAGCAACTTCCATTTCTCGTTATGTATTTGGTAAAGTAAATTTGACGAGCACAATATGCTATCTACATTGTCATTGCCGCAGTGACACGCACCAAATTCATTTCAGTGCACATGTTCAGCTAGTGTTATGCAACGAAACAGCATCACTGTATAGAATTCGATATCGCATACTCACTAATGCGCAGGCTAACTGCATTTATTCGCATTGATCCAGTTATGGACACACCTACCAATAAGTCCATCATGTTTTGTCAAACTAACCCATCTTTTTGTTCCTTCTTGCCGAAGGTTGGACTTCCTATATTGCGCTTTCGCTAATGTTCAAAGCAGTGTGGGTTCAGGACGTGTACAGGCGCGTTTCAAATCCATTGACGCTGGGATAAATGCGCGTCTTCAACAGAATGTACACCATAGCGTACTAAAAACGTTTTCACAAATACACATAAAATGTGAACGCGCGTTCTCATTTTCTTGCCTTTTAGGTATGAATCAACTAGAATGTGAAATTTGCAGCAAGAACTCACCACTTAGGCGACACACAGCAGATGAGGATGATTGATTGGATCTGTTGTCCAAGCAATCATGCAATCATGATTGCGGAAGAAAACGGTTTGATAAACACACAAAACAAAATTCTGTAGGATATTCAGCAGGTAAACTCATAAAAAGTGGAAACTTGTTTCATTAAGACGCGGTTCTCCAGCTCACTGTGAACTCCACAGGAAAGAGGAAACGGAGTCCTCGGTTGCGTATTCGAAAGCTAATTAACTGTTTGACTCTGCTTGTCCGCGATGAGTATTCGCCCAATTTGCATGCTTCCACAATTAAATTCATGGTGTCCAAACCGAAGTTCGTCAATTTGTGATAAATTTATTGGCGCTTCATCCAAATTGCTTTTCATCACATGGTAAGAACCAACGCTTTGGCAACATGGTCATTGGAAAAGCTGGGTTGAAAGCACTATTGCGAGACATAACACAACCTCAGCAGACATAATGTTAAGCTTCATTACGCAGTTGTCACTGATGTCATGTACCATATGTTTGTGTACTATATGGATCAATGGTATATTACGGGTAAAAATCGGAAGTCTTGCACGATGGCCAACCTCGGAATAATAACATGGCAAATAGAAAAATACAGTGAGAAAATGAACACTGTTTGATGGACTGACCACAGTGTCCACACAGAGGCATGCAGAAAGGAGCCTGGCCATACACTCATTTTTATCTACTGCGGTGTGGTCTGCGCTTGATCAAAATTACATCAGCGTGTTCTGTATGCATTGGGGCTTAATTCAAGCTACAATTCTAGACCGTGGTGAATGCTTCTGCCTAATATCAGCATTGCTACCGGGAAATACTATGCTACCGACACCATTTCGTCCGTTGGCGAAACTTGTGCGACAGAAGGAAGAACCGTAAGGAGCACGTTAGCAACCGAAAGTGTTAAACCATGTGGGTGGTGGAAGTTCAATTCTGCGTGGTTGTGGGTCGTCATTGCCCAGCTTCGACCTAACAGGTTTATGGCTGTTTTCTGTGTCATTATAATCGCACGGTGCCGCGTGCTTAATAAATGGTAAAGGACAATCATATAACTAAATACTCAGAAAATTTTAAACCAAGGAATTCTTAACTGATGGCCGTTAGGTGTATGCAATGATTTTTTGTCACCGGAATTGCTCTATTAAAGATATCTACATAATTTGACCAAATTTAAGAGCTCGCTACTTATGAATGTTGGCAGTTAGGCAGCTCGAAGCTGTATGGAGAGGAGAAGATTTGAAAGCGCGTCCAAGAATGCAGAATAATTCAGCGATGTACTGGAAACATCAGTACGTAAGAGAAGTAGCTCTTTATCATTGCGGGAGTGTGTGGCGATAAGCCTAATTTGTGGTGGTTGTTTCCTTCCCTTATGGTTTGTTAGTATCCACTACTGGGATGAAAGATAACAATGGTGGTTTCTTGTCCTATCCTGACCGATTCAATGTGCTTTACTGACTGGCGATGAATTAAGAACTCTGTCCAATATTATCCGAAGTTTGATAACGATCTGCCTGTTGTTAGCTGTGCTTAGCCATGTCAATATGCAGAAATAGTTTTCAGAAATGCCTTATTATTTTAACTTAATGATATTCTCAACTAGCAAAATTGCATTCCGCTTGAGTAATTCATATGCCTAGGACTAGCTGATATTAATTGCTGTCACATAGTCCCTTACTGAAATTTTTGAAAAGAACCCATACACCTTTCATTACACACAACGGTTGCTTCAGTGTCTTAACGCGCCACAATTGTTTGTCGAATCTGGTCAAGGTACCCACATTCCCCATCCACAGTCACAACAACAACGACTCGCCTCCCAATTACCCATCACCTCATCGATCTGATCCAATTCATTCGACCCAAAGCGGGTTCCCCGTATCTGCTTGATGCAACTAAAATAGTTTACAAGAAATTGCTCGCCAATAATAGAAAGATTTTTCTGCGAGCTAACCAAGTGTTTCGAGTTCTGTGTACTTGGTGTAGTGTTAATAACCAGCATGTGATAAAATAACGGATGTACAACTCTAAATATAAGTTGCTAGTATGTATACTATTTACAAAGATAACAGCACGCTCGGTAGTCAACAATTTGTATCACAATTCTACAGACAGTTGTGCAATAAGAAACCACTCCAATCTCATAAATTTGGAACAGATTAGTAAACAACTAGGTTTTACCCAGGCATATTTGCGGATAATTTCCGCTCTTGAGAAAACAGCATATTCTGGCCAGGTGAACCAGGGCATTGTAGACGGCTTTTTTAGTTAACATGAACAATCCGATTCATTGTACACAAGCGGTTCCCGTGCAGTGGGACAGAAGTGTCACTCCATTAGTACAGAAACCATGGAACGCTCACAGTTAATCCGTGTCACATATCACCCACATGTACTGTATTACTGTTGTTTATGCTGGCGATTCCGGTGATGATATTTTGACGCTTTCGTTCCAGCCGGAGCAAGTGTGACAACTCTTTTCAGATTGGCCGGTTTAAGAAAGCAAGGCATAATTCTGACAGCGCCACCTTGTCTATGCTGATCGTGCAGACATTGGCCTGGGTGATTTCTACCACCTAAACAACTAACCATCGGCTTATTGCTCGTACCTCTATCTTGATACACACGAAACCGTTCCCCTAGATTTCGTGTCCCGTATCCAGCGCGTGTACAAATACCGTTGAGGCTTTTAACAAAGCTCTATTTTCGGGCTCCTTTCTTTGTGCTCGCGTTACCTGCATTTGTGTTCTGCTGACCATACGCATAGCTTGTTCGCCGTATGGTCTAAGTCATATGTGCGCGGCATTTGTAACTTGTTCATTATATGCAACCGTTGATCCGGCCTCCGTTCCTACAAGGGTAACAATGCGGAAGGTGCTGTTGTAACTGTTGAAAAACATACCGTTTACTTCTGATTTACCAACCGCTTGATTGCTACAGAAATTCCCTCTGTATAAGGGATTAAACGGTGCCAATCCATGCCGTTATGTGTCTCGATGGTTTGTTTAGGGCTCATTGCAACTGACGTTTCACTATCCGCTTTATGGTTTCGCTAACTATTAATTTCCCTGCTTCTCTCATTCAAGCAGCCCTGGTGTCCTCCAAGTATGGGCAAAAAGAAACACTGATGTGCTGCGATAACAGCGTAAAGTGTTTTAGATGACCAAAGTGTGGTGAATTACCCCATGCCTATCTGTCATTTCACGATATCTCCTTAGCTCTAGCCATCCTCTGTCGCTCTGATCTAGGTATTGTGGGAATGCATGTGTGTTAATGCATTAAACCTGTTCCGTAACAAATTCTGTGTGTTGAATAACAAATCCAAATATTCAGGGTATTCCTATTTATATCCTAGTAAACTCTCACAACAATCTCGTTTACGTATTGTCCCTAATATTTGACGAATATTTGACCAACGGCTTGCGTTTGTCAGTGCTTTCTTTCTTACTCCTTCCACACACCGATTTGACAAGAGAGATTTTCATGTTAAGGCCCTTCTCCTAGGCGTTTTGCCGCGACTGTAAGGTGGAATATTTAACGTTAGGTCACAATTTCACCCCTTCCACTTTTTGATCTGCTGTGAGTTTCGTTCTCTTCCCCGGGATATTGTTTGCAATCACCCATTCCCCCTACAGTGTGTCACCGGTGGGCATGCTAGTGGATAGTGAAATAACGCCGAAGTTCACCATTATTTCCTCTGAGTCGATTGTCAAATATGCCACTTTTCGTGCGAACCCATCAGAGGTCTATGGAAACATATTGCTTCTTCCTGTTAGCAAATCAACAAGACTGCCATTTATCTGGTTTATTCGTGGTTTATGGTAAAATTTCACCCACGATGATACGAGAGAGAATACTGGGATTACATATATTTACATCCCATTTATTCTTATTATAAACGTTTGTTTCGGGCTTATGTTTAACTATTTATACGACCGTATGCAGTTCTTCGCAATCCTCATTTGGTTGCTAATCTCATTCCAGTTACGCGAGTCCCATTGTGGCCTTAACGCTAATTGCTATGGCCCTAATTACTATTGCCCTAACAAATGTCAAATGTGGCAGCCGGTCAGACTGGATGCCAGGAGGTCAATAATCCTGGCTAAAGCTTCAGCCGATTAATCTGATGCAGTGTCATTCACCGTGCGATTATTGATGTCTCCAATTCCGTGTCATCACACACAGCTTACTGATAGATACTGACGAACAAACTACATTGGTCACAAAGGAATAACTTGGTACTGGTATCAAATTTGACTAAACACTTGTGCATTTTATATCAGAACTGCTTTTATGATCAATTATTTGACACATTCGGACAAGACCAGAGCGCATGTCAGGCCTCAGTATTGCAACCTCCTCAGTTCGACATGAATGTAGCCAACAATCCAAGTGTTCATTAGTGAGAAAACCTCGATTTTTCAGCCTCCGTAAAGCAAACTTGTCTAGACGAGTAGGCTGTCCTGGCATTAAGACTGCTACTTCCGTCTTCTGTTGACTGAGTCAGACCAGAAGGTTGCTCATGCGAGTGTTTAAACACTGCTTCATTTCCAAGGTGCCAAACCTATCAGGTGACACCGAGAAGATGTAACCAAGCGATATCACCCTAATTTGGATGCGACTGTGTGGTCGGTTGCACAAGGCCACCATATCATTCTCTGCATCAGGTGGAAGCTAGTTAATCAGGCGCTCAGAAAACAGAGTACAAAATTTGCGGTCGGATTGACAATATTTTCTCAACTTGCACTTTGCGCAGGGAATAGACGAATAGCAGAT